TTAAACACATATAATTGTATTGTATTTACAAATTTCCAAAACGCAAAATTATATTCTTTTCAACATCCCAGCCTCGATTTTCTTCTTAAAATATTTTTGAAATAACGCAAATTTCAACCTCGATATTCTTATTTCAAAAAAGTGTATTCTGCTCAGCTGATAAAAACTGATCTGCATGCAGTGAGTAGGCTTGGACTGTTAGGAAATTTATGTTGACACAAACATAACAAACCATTTATAGTTTCACAGGTGGCATTGTGTTTTATTATTGTTTTTAATTAAAACTACCAGGGGAAGACTATTACAATTGTTTTGGCGTTTTCACATCGCAAAACGTTTGAATGTGACTTATTTTGTGATCTATACTCGGATGATTTTGCTTTATGTGATGTTTTTATAAACTGGACTAACTGCTGGTCATTGTGGTACAGCAAGGGAAGAGTCCACCACTTCTCGCAAACAGCCACACTCTTTAAAGATTTCAAAATAGCATTGCTGTAATGAAATTTACGTGCTGGAGTATTCAGTGACTTTCATCGAGAATGCCACGATGATTTCAATTAGTTACGTTCATTGAGAGACAATGATTTGGCCGAAAAATACTAACCTACAAAGAAAGGCTATCTAAAACGATTTTATGAGGGGACTACCATATGAAACCTGGGCTCATAGCTTATAAAAATATTTATGTATAAGAAAGGAAGAAGAAAAACTCATTCTTTAAACCTGGTTAGGAGCAGGGTACATTTTTGAAATAAAATTAGAATGAAATTGCGAAGGGAAGTATAATTTTCAAATGAAATTATTCTAGGGGTACAGCTTCCATAGCTACAGTCTTGTTTAAAAGCCACAGCCCTTCCCCGCCGGGACGTAGTTGAAGACCACCAAAGCACAAAAGCTGAAACTATTTTATACAGCTGTTAGAATAATAAAGTGATGAACCTTTTCTTTACCCGATATACAGCGCTGAAATACTTGTTGCAGATATTTCAGAGGAGGATAAAATGCAACATTGTTTTAACAGTTTTTATCGACCTTGTAAGTATAATGTTACAGTTATTAATTGACTAGTTAATTTTATATCCTTACATCCAAGAAAACAAGAAAGCCGCAAGTTCTGCTGAGAAGGACCAGGAAAATAACACAGAGAGTGGTGGTACCTCTAATGAGAATCGTCGCCGTAGCGACCTATTATGTAAGTCTGAGCGATCCACCTGGCAAAAGGTACAACCGCACAGTCAGCATTCAAGAGCACAAAGAGAAGGTATTATCA